TTTATTGACTACCAGGGTTTGGTTTGGGCATTTATAATTGAGTGGAGGACAAGATACAGGCCCTCAGTGATATTTGGGAAGATAGCATGGGGACTAAGAGACCTTTGACCTAAAAGTCCGGAGATCTGTGTTCTGGTCCTGACATGACCACTAATTCTGTGTCTTTGCACTAGTCACTTAATCTCAAAGGTCACTTCCACCTCTGAAGTTCTGGAAAGATTCAGCTGTTTGATTTCACCTGGAGACACAGAGAAGTCTCAGGATGAGCTAACTTGTGTCAGTAGAAGGAGTTGGTTGGCTGCCTCCTTCAGATTCCGTTCCAACATGTTATTTACATTGTTCTCTTCATTTCTGAACCTTCACCGACATGATGTGGATCCAGTGACTTGTGCTGTGATATTATTTTCTTCCAACTTCTGATCGCCACAAGTCTCACCTCAAAAGGGTTTTCTTTTCTCATAAACGCCTCTTGAATCAACTGTTTCTTATCATTCCAGTTACTCCTGCCCAGGCCCACATTCTGGCCTGGATCCTGGCTGTCATTGTCATCCCTGGAAGGGGATGCCAGGCTGCCCATTCATTGTGTTCTGCCAGCCAGGACTCTGGGCTCATGCCTGGCCTCCTCACCCCACATTCAATTAGTCATGCTTGTTGGGTGGTTGTTGGTTGCTGTAGAGTTGACTCCAGCTCATGGCAATCTCATATAACACTAACAGTTTTCCCTTGACAGCTAACCTAAAGGTTGGTGGTTCAAACCCACTCAGAGGGAGTGCAGAGAAAAGACCTGATGATCGGCTTCCTTAAAGATTACAGACAAGAAAACCCTATAAGGCAGTTCTCCTCTGTATCCATGGGGTCATCATGGTTTGCCACATGAAGTCCTCTCCATTCTTCCCTTCTAAGATCTCATATTGCCCCATCTCTCTCATCCTCTCCCACATCTGTCAGCTGAGGTGCTGATGTCACCACACCGGTACGGCAGGGTTCCTGCCTCACTCTCACCATTTCCAGTCAGCATCCCCAGTACAGTTAGAATGACCTTTCTGACGTGATAATCAGCCCGGTCACTCCTCTGCTTCAAACTTTTCTATATAATCCCATTGCCGTTGAGTCTGTTCCAGTTCACAGTCACCCTATAGGAACTGCACGGAGGGTTTCTAAGGCTGTGAATCTTTAAGGAAGCAGACTGCCACATCTTTCACTTGTATGGCAGCTGGTAGGTTCAAACCATCAACCTCATGAATAGCAGCTGAGTACTCTAACCACTGTGCAACCAGGGCTCCCTCCTTTTAATATCAAATAAACCCAAACCCATTGACATCGAGTCAATTCCGACTCATAGCAACCCTCTAGGACAGAGTAGAACTGTCCCATAGGATTTCCAAGGCTGTAAATCTTTACAGGCTCAGACTGCCACATCTTTCCAACGCAGAGAAGCTGGTGGATTCAAACTGTTGACCTTTCTGTGAGCAGTCAAATGCAGGGCTTCTCCTTTTGGTATAAAACC